CCATTTACTTTGATGCTAGCATTGGTGTTCTTCAGTATCTCGTTGAAGATTGACTCAGAGTAGATATTGAACAACAGTGGAGACAGAATACATCCCTGTCTGACCCCTCTTCGTATTTCTGCATCAGCTGAGTATTTTTGGCCTAGTGTCACATTTGCTACCTGATGCCAATATAGATTCTTTATGATTTGGATGTCTTTGTCATCTAGTCCCCCTTGTTTCAGGATTTATAATAGTTTGCTGTGTCTTATTTTATCAAATGCTTTTTCAAAATCAATGAAGCACATGTCAGCCCTGTGATTGACATCTGTACAATGCTGTACAAGAACTTGAATGCTGAATAGTGCATCTTGTGTACCAAGATTGTTTCTGAAACCAATTTGTGTGTTACCTAGACGCTCCTCAATTTTGTTGTATATTCTTGTGTGAATTATTCTCAGGAATATTTTCAGGGCATGACTCATTAAGCTTATTCTTCTGTATTCGATACACTTCTTTGCATTTATTTTTTTGGGGGATTGTCACAAAGGTTGATTTTAGCCAATCATTTGGTATCTTTCCTGTTTCATATATTCGATTGAAGAGCTGCAGTAAAAAAATCTTCCCATTGTCTTGCAGCAATTTTAAAATGTCTACTGGGATATCATCAGGTCCTGTGGCTTTTCTTGTTTTTGCTATTTTTATTGCATGTTCAACCTCCTCCATAGTGATGTTTGGTCCAGTTATTCTACTTCCCATTCTGTATCATTTATATCATATTTTATACACATCCTGCAATATTTGCTTGCTTCCTCCCTCCCTCCCTCTCTCCCTCTCTTCCTCCCTTCCTCTCAATATTCTTATTTTCTTATTTTCTTCCTTGAATGTTTTTCTTCTGTTATCTCCCTTGTTTACTTCTCTTTACAAAAAAGAAGCAAAACAAAATCAAAACAAAATTGAAAATATATAAAAAATGATGTGATCTCCATTTAGGACCCATCAGATTTTCTGATGTCCAAGAACATAGTACAATACCTTTTTTATTCTTATCCATGAATGGAACAAGACAAAAGCAAACATGGGCAGGGGAGGGAGTACAGATATCTTTTCTCTGACTTTTTTCTTCTGTAGAAGTAAAAGAGAGTTGGTAGCTTTTTCAAATGTCTTTCATTTCCCATTTTCTAAGAAATCAAAGAAGTTTGAATGTTCAAATCCCCTGCTTCTGTTAAATCTCAAATCTTTCAGCTATTTTGAACAGATGTCAGATATAAAGACTGCCTGCCTTCAGATCAAACTCCTGTTGCCAAGTCTCGCGATCGCTGTCCTAAACAGTTGATTATAATGTCAGCAGTCCAATTTGGAAGCTTTATAGAAACAGCTGAACACTGCAGTTTCCTGAAGTATTAAAGAGCGTTGCGTGCTCTTTCTCTCTCCCTCTCCCTCCCTCTCTCTCTCCCTCTCTCTCCCTCTTCTCAGTTGGCTTCTCTATAACACGAACTGGGGTAAGAGATTCTCTATTTACATTGATCTCTATCAGCATAAGTTATAGTTAAGCTTGATATGTACAGAATTGCACTCTGCTAAAATGCTATGTTCTGTCCATGTGTTGCTCTGCTGAGAATACAAAGTTTATTCTGCAAATGGAAATGATGTAACAAGTAAGCAGGCAGGTGTATTGAACCATAGCATTATTCAATGGATTCTGGGCTAAGTAAATTAAACTGAATTTTTAAAAAATCATTTATTAATTTAACCACTTTCTGAATTTAAATTGAGGTCAAATTGCCTTGTATATAGATTTTTGGTTGACTAAAGATTTACAAAGAGAGGAAGCAATCACTGAGATCAATTTGTGTTGCTTCATTGAATGCTACTAGTGAAGTATATTCTGCTTAACTGCCATGGAGTAAGGCTATATTTTTAAAAATAAACATATCTAAACTTGTGTCTCAATTTGGATGTCTCTTGAAACAAACTTTTTAATCACTTTTAATCTTATGAGAACAAGATAGATTTGTTTTGAATTGCTTTGGGTTAACAAGAATCAATTTAAGGACATCTACATCTAAACATATATATATGTGTGTTTATGTATATGTGTATATATATATATATATATATATATATATATATATATATATATACACATAAAATTCCTATTGCCAAATATTTGACTTCCTGAAATGCTAATCGGTGGAAAATTAAAACAGTTCAAAAAGTGTTACATAGACCATTTGGTATGTACAACATTATGACAGGTTCCAGTATATATAGTTAATAGCTAACATTGGCTGCTAGCCAGCACATTGCTATATGTACTTGTGCTCATATTAATAGAATGACTGCCTATGAAATGTACCATTTTGTTTGAGCACCATTTCAGATATAGAGACTGGTAAACATTTGGATTGGTTTTCTTTCTTGTATAATCTATAAATATCTTTATAAAGCAAGGAAAAGGATCTTGACATTTGATTCTTTTCCTTTTTTTTCAATGCTGATTCCTTTCTTCAAGCATAGGGGTCTAAATATTTTGTTTGTAAATTCTGAGTGTATGCAACTAAACAACAGGCATTCTCTAGGTGTTGGAAATAGCTGTACTTAACTGAATGTTTGAGTTTTCTGTGAATGGAATGTTTTGTTTTTGTTTCAAGATGCATGAAATATAGGTTCGGTACTCCACATATTTACTTGTAAATAATTCCTTTGAAATCTGTATGGTTTAAATATAATGTAATGCAGAAAAGATAAAGACCAGTATTTCAACATGTTTCCCCTCACTTTCTTAAGTAAGTTAAATCATTTTGATTAATGTCTTATAGGATGAAACAGTTTGTAATTAAAAGTGTAGTTTAGATTTCAATCCAACTCACATTATATATTTAGTAAGACCTGCTTCAAAGTAGACATATTTAGGCTCATCTCATGTTTTTCCTTTCCAGTTTTTATTACAAGAGAAAAAATGATTTACACTTTCAATAAATCTAAGCATTTACAGCTCAAATCAACATCTTTCAATTGTGAAAATAAGAGCTTGTGTAGTTTACTATAACATTGAACTCAATTTAGTACTGATAGAAATATGTAGCCTTGATTTTTTTTGTTTTTGCATTATTTGTAGCATATCTAAGAATAATTACTATCAAAATGCAAAGGGATGTACTTCTAAATAGATATAAATAGGACTGTGTTTTAACTTTTTTAAAAAAAATGAATTCTTTTTTCTTTTTTTGATAACGTCATTTTCCCCACCCAGTTTTTATTGTTATCTAAATGCTTAGCACAATTTTTCTCAATCTGGGCAATTTGAAGATATGTGGACCTCATCTCCCAAAATTCCAACATGGGAATTGAAGACTTGAATTCTGAGAATTGAGTGAATTCTTGAATTGAAGAATTCTGGAAGTTATCCACACATTTTCAAGGTGTTCACACATTTTAAGTTTCCCAGGTTGAGAAATTTTGGTTTAGAATGCTCTACCTGTCATCTCTACCTGCAATGATTGGGAAAATAATGAAATATTGTCCTATTTAACAGATGTGCATCTAAGAAAAAAATGGAAGTCATTCTTTAGATGTCACTGGATTATTCCCCAGTAACTCCTCCCACTGAATATCTATGGCTAGCTATAATTGAAAGGAGCTATGTACAGCTATACTGTACCTATAAGAGAGAAATAAAAATACTGAAATTGATTGGTAATATAGTGACTAGCAAATATAGGATCTCAGCAAAAGCATTCATATAATTTAATCTTGAACATACAGTTATTTGTAAACTTGCCACTCCATACCAATTGTTCAGCCCTGCTCAGTATACTAAACCAGGAATCAACTCCATATGAAGGCTAAGGCCATTTTTATTGAGATTGGCTATAATAGTAGAATGTTGCAAGTCTGATTATGCTGTACTTCCTCTTTCTTTATATACTCTAGTGAATTTGTAAACTGCAAACCCAAATCTCTTCCCAATGTTATCTAATTGTTCTAGACTTTAAAATTTTTTTAACCTCTTTTGCCTACGTTACAGTTTCTGCACATTTCCATCAAGATTAGCTACCTTACTCTCTATATAATAGAGACTTGGACTTCTCTAGCTAATGAAAGTTGACATAGTCTTTGTCTGGACCTGCTAAATAAATCCCATCTTCCTCCTTATCGTAAAGAACACACAACGTCTCATATCAGCTTAATCTCTTTGTCCAACTGCATGATCAACAGTGGCAACTTTTTAGGACCTCACGATAATATTCCTTCCTGGTATCTGCTGAAATGTGCTTTACCACTGAATCAGGATTAGAATCAGGATTTTTTTTAATGATGGTGTATTTGTCATGGTTACTTGAGATGCCTTAAACATATTCTTTGAAATGGAAAAGGCAGGATAGACTATTAAGAATCCATACATGCACATGGCTTCTTTCCCAGTCTTGAAAATAAACTGTGGTTTCATTAGTCAGAGCTGCTGATTTTGCAGAGTTCAAGATATAAGTAATCATGTATTAAACAAGTTTCCAGACATTGAAATTCCTTCATGTTTGTACATGGATCACTCTTACATTTATTAAATAGCATGGCAAAAGAAAAACAAAATGTCTTTGCATTCAATAATGAGAAAAGAACCTTGGATATCATTTTTGTATCTGGCATTCTTGAAACAGATGTTTGACTCCATCTCCAGTGAAAAAATATTTTAAAAGGATGACAGTGTTTATTCAGTTACTGCTGAATAATTTACAAAATATACAACACAAAAATCAAATTAAATAGATGAGTTAGAATACAATCATGGTAAGGAATTTCTATTGTAAAATAATAACAAAATATGCAAATACAATAATGTGTATTAATATACTGTGCAAGTATATGTCTATATCAGTGGAGTAAAAATGCACATCACCTAAAATAAAATAAGTAGGATGAGCGCAGAATTTGCATAACAAATAAGAATTCATACATAAATTATAAGTGGTTATGCCTGGCACCAGTTATGACTTATTTTCATTGCTGTAACACAAAAATTGGCTATTGAAAAAATAACGGAAAGTTCATTCACACAGAGGTTGTCTGGCCTTTTTGGCAATTTACATCATCACCATCATCATCATATCATCATCATCATCATTTTAGCCATTGTCTATCCACTGCAGAATGAAGGCTTCTACTGCACGTTTCCAACCAATACAATCCTGAGCTTTATTTTGCCAAATATTAATAGACCTAATATCCCTGTAAAAATTTATAGTGTAATTATACATGATAAATGGATGCAATCTTTTTCTCACTATGTAGCAACTGCACTTGGTAGATGGGGTCTTGAGGATAAGCCTTACAGCAAAACAGATGGTAAGATATTATATCTAGTTTTTTAAAAAAAATATCTTCCACCTCAGGGAAAGTTAGATCTGTTAGATATTTTGCTGGTTCCCAAAAGCCCTTGTTTATCCAATTTCTGCCATATTGGGGCAACCTATCATCATCTGCTTTATTCTTTGGTGGGCAGTTATTTGATTTGGCCAAACCTTGGAGAAATTAGGAATAGTACAGAAAGCCTATCATTTCTGTAGTCTTGCTTCCTGGCAAGAAGCATCCATGTTCCTCAACTTGAAATGAAGTTTGAGGACTGAGTCCATTCAAATTACATTTAAGTATTTCTCAGATTCCCTAGAGCAGTTTTATTATATACCAGACATAGAACATAGAATAATAGTGTTGGAAGGGACCTTGGAGATCTTTTAGTCCAACCCTATGCTCAAGCAGGAGACTCTATATCATTTCATACTTTGGAGATCTTTTAGTCCAACCCTGTGCTCAAGCAGGACACTCTATATCATTTCATACAAATGATTGTCCAGTCTCTTTTTGAAATCCTTCAGTGATGGAGCACCCACAATTTCTGTAGGCAAGCTGTTTCATTGGTTAATTGCTCTTACCATTAGGAAATTTCTCCTTAGTTCTAGGTTGCTTCTCTCCTTAGTTAGCTTCCAACCATTGTTTCTTGTCTCGTCTTTGGAAAATAGTTTTGTCTTTGTAGGATCCCCTCAAATATTGGAACAATGCTATCATGTCCCCCCTAGTCTTTCTTTTCATTATACTAGACATATCCAATTTCTATCATCATTCTTCGTACATTTTAGCCTCCAGCCTCTAATCATTTTTGTTGCTCTTCTCTGCACTCATTCCAGAGTTTCAGCATCCTCTTTGTATTGTGGTGACCAGAACTGGATGCAGTATTCCAAGTGTGGTCTTACTAAGACTGTGTAAAGTGGTACCACAACTTCCCATGATCATGATCCTATCCCTCTATTTTTTTAAAAAAAACTTTATTGGTTTTTAAAACCTAAATCATGTAATAGGTGATTAACAGTGTGTTTGCCTAGCTTACATTTACAAAGGAAAATCATCCACAATTAATATCTATAATCCATAATTCACGTATTCACACAAATGTTTCTTTTTTGTTAATTTTCACTTTAATATTTAAATATTTTCCCTTTAATCAATATCATGTTTGATCAATGTGTTTTGCTGAATCGAAGCGTTTTTTTCCTCTATTTTTCCCCAACCAATCATACAATTTGTTCCAGATTTCATAGTAATCTGTTTCACTCTTATCCTTAAGTTCTAACGTCAACCTATCCATTTCAGCACAGGATTAAATCTTATTTATTACTTCTTCTTCTGAGGGTGTCTCACTGTCTTTCCATCTCTGTGCAAAGACTAATCTTGCTGCTGTTAGCATGTGTAATAATAGGTATAAGGATCCTTTATTGTATCTATCTTTAGTGATACCCAGAAAAAAGAGTTCTGGTTTTAGCTCAATGTTCTGCATTAGTATTTCTTCTAACCACTGTTTTATTAAATGCCAAAATTTTTGTGCTTTTGAACATTCCCACCACCTATGGTAATAGGTCCCTAGTGATTCTTTACATTTCTAACATTTTGGGAGGTCATTTTGTCCATTTTGGCTAATCTCACAGGAGGAAGGTGCCACCTATAAAACATCTTGTATAAATTTTCTTTGTACGCAGTAGCTAGTGTGAGCTTCCTATTCTATCCCTCTATTAAAGCATAACATTCATCCATGCACATGTTGTTCCTGTAAGATCCTCAATGAGTAAAGTTTAAAGATAAAATTTTATATTTCTTTATGGAATGCAGAACATTTACTGTTCCTTTCAATTCTTTCCTCAATACTTGGCTCTTATAGTGTGGCTTTTCATTTGCTCTTGCATTCAACTGAATCAGTGAAATATTGTCTCTGATAATCCTTCTCTGTCCTTCACTTCCTTTGATACTGCCATACACTTAGGAAGCACTTAAAGGAAAAACATTCCTATTTTCTACTCTCAGCTTTCAGAATCTTAGCTGGCAACGAGCAAAACAGCCCTTCAAGAGTTCAACAGCTGTATTTTCCACAGAAATTAATTCTGTTCCTTTTAAGGATAGAAGCATTACTCAAATGACTTGAGAACAGATTGTTTAAAATGACAGTAATAAGGACATAGAATACATTTTTTCCCTTTCCCATATCTTTCTTTCAAGAGGAAATTACTCAAAATATCCAAGTTACTGCATATTATTATGGAGTTTTTCCCCTTTTTATATTTATTAAGAATATAAAAATATGAATTTTTTACTATTGTTCAGGTATTGATTCCCAGACTAAAATTTGATACATTACTAAGCAGAGTCAATAGGAAGTACATATTCATGTATATACATCTACATCTACACAAAAACACACATACAGAGACAACCATTCCTAGGCAAACAAGTTGCCGTATAGACCTTGTTTCTTCTGTCTGTTCTGCATAACCTTGGCCTCATAAAATGTCAGTGATGATTCAACCAATGATTTCACCTTTTCTAAAGTCACTTGTTTCAACAAAGTTCTCCTGTACCAATCCTGAATCCTTTCCAATCTACCACTATTTTTATTAATTAAATTTCATAGAATTATAGTGCTAGAGTCCAAACACTGCCCAAAACAGGAATCCTTATACAATCCCTATTATCTTTTCTTCACTTCCATCTGGTTATACTTTGCAAATAATGAAACTGGGACAGTTTCCCAACTATTCTGTCTTTGAGGTGCATTTACTTTGAGTACAGTTTCCAGTTAGTCTTTTGAGACTGTACAACAGAGCTCCCCAATGCAGTGGCTCACTGCATTTGTGCATCTGAAAGTTCTGCTTAAACTCTTTCTTTTTCTTTTATTTCAGAATTCATAATGCATACCAATGGGATGTGCAGCCTCACAAAAGTTACCATGTGGCTTCTGTTGTTCTGTATGTTTGTCAAGAATGTGTTCCCTACTGGAGATGACACCATCATTGCTACTAAGAATGGAATGGTCAAAGGTATTCATTTACCTGTGCTTGGTGGAACAGTAACTGCATTTCTTGGGATTCCTTTTGCAACACCACCAATTGGTAGTCTACGTTTCAAAAAGCCACAACCTCGAGAACAATGGAAAGGAACTTGGGATGCCACTAAGTATCCCAATTCTTGTTTTCAACTCCCAGATAATACTTTCCCTGGCTTTGAAGGATCAGAGATGTGGAATCCAAACACAAAGCTTAGTGAAGACTGCCTTTATCTCAATGTATGGGTTCCTTCTCCCAAGCCTAAAAATGCATCAGTCATGGTATGGATTTATGGAGGTGGCTTCCACAGCGGGACATCTTCACTCTCTGTTTATGATGGCAAGTTTCTAGCTCAAGTGGAAAGAGTCATTGTTGTGTCAATGAACTATAGATTAGGGCCTTTTGGATTCTTAGCTTTGCCAGGAAATAAAGATGCACCAGGAAATGTAGGTTTGTTTGATCAAAGGCTAGCACTTCAATGGATCCATGACAACATAGGAGCCTTTGGAGGTAATTCTAAAAGTGTGACCTTGTTTGGAGAAAGTGCAGGAGCAGGGTCTGTAAGCTTCCATCTTCTTTCTCCTCAAAGCTATCCTCTCTTCACTAGGGCCATCATGCAAAGTGGATCTGGGAATGCTCCTTGGGGTACAATTTTATCATCTGAAGCAAGAAGAAGAACTTTAATTCTAGCTGAACTCCTCCACTGTACTGGCAAAAATGAAACTGAGATCATTTTTTGTCTTCAAAACAAAGATCCCAAAATTATATTGGAGAAAGGAGGAGATATTTTAATATACACTGGTCTCATAAATCTGCATTTTTGTCCCATAGTTGATGGTGACTTTCTTGCTGATATGCCAGAAATATTGCTGAAAAATGGACAGTTTAAACAAACACAGATCTTGATAGGAGTAAACAAAGATGAGGGTACAACTATTCTTGTGTATGGTGCTCCTGGCTTTAGCAAAGATAACAACAGTGTTATCAACGAAACAGAATTCCAGGCAGGTTTGAAAGTTGCCTTTCCACAATTAAATGAAATTGGATTGGAATCTATTGCTTTTCACTACACAGACTGGGAAGATGAGAAGAGTATTTTCAATTATCGTGATGCCATGGATGATATCGTTGGGGATTACTATTTCATATGCCCTGCAGTAGAGTTCATAAAACAGTTTGCCTTGGCAGGGAACAATGCTTTTTTTTATTTCTTCGAGCACAGATCTTCAAAACTTGCTTGGCCAGACTGGATGGGAGTTCCACATGGTTATGAAATTGAGTTTGTATTTGGATTACCTCTAGAGCAAAGAGTTAATTATACTAAAGCAGAGGAAGCATTGAGCAGATCTATACTGAAGTACTGGGCAAATTTTGCAAAAACTGGGTAAGGGCTGTTTTATTTCACAATATGGCAACTTTTCTTGTTATTTCTCTTCAGACATTGAAAGTATTGTTTCAGTGCCTGCTTATAAGAATGACATCTGGCTATTCCTGCTCTGTTATTGATTAATATAATTGTTCACAGATATTGGCAATGATGTTAAAAATAATATGGGATGCTGATGTTGATATCAGTAATAGAGTATATTTGCATTGAAAAATCTGCTAGTTATTTCTCTAGACAAGATACTTCCTAATACATTCAAAAGTTGACAATGTTGGATTATGCTTTGGTATTATTAGTCATTAACTATCTCTCCAGAGAACTGAAACTTCATTTGTCATCACAACAGCTGATGCATTTGAAGGCCAGTGTTTCAAGTTGCAAAGTATGACATTCCATGTATCCTTAGCTTTTCTACCATCATGTTCTTCAACATACCAAGAGGAAAATTTGAAAGGCAAGGAATAATTGTACAAAATGACCTTTAGCACTAGAACATTAAATTAATCTACATTAAACATAAGAAAGAAACTATAAGAAAGTAGAAAACCCATACATGTACTGTCTTTTTGTCTGTACATCCATTCACTCATCCTCATATATTACATGAGTGTAGTAACAAAGATTGTATCATGGTGAATATATACCTTTAAGGGCAATCTGAGAAACAGCCAATGATCAGTGAATGAATTCCTGAATTTATTACAACAAAGATCTCCTGACCATTTTCTCAATCAGTATGTTATTGATAGTCTTATCATTAATTTGTCTTAAGGTTACCTATTTGCATGGTACAGAATAAAAATAAGACTAAAATGCCAATCCAAATTTCAGAGTACACATTTTTAAAAGATAGGCCAGAAGCATCTATGGTAGGAGTGAAATGTATCTAGGTCAATTATATGCAACAAATAAAATTACTTAGCATTTTCCCCTTTTATTTCCTATATAAAAATTCATGCAGAGTAGATACATTCATCTAGAAGCTGACATATCAATCAACTTCGATTTTCTTAAGTTTTTTCCCCCTATTTCCATGTCAGTTTATAGGCTCTCTTTGAAAAGGAAATTAGAGAAAATAAAATATGATTTCTGAAATTCTTTCCAACTCCTTTATAAACAGTGGCCATAATATGCATTTCGTGTTTGCACATACACCTATATAAAGTATGTATGTGTATGTGTGCATGTGTGCATGAGAAAGAAAAAAAAAGGGAGAGGTAGGGGGAGGCAGGAAGGATATTTTAATCACGGTAAATTTGTATATGTTGATCAGTCTTTCTGTGTTACTGCTCTTACCTCATGTTGTATATGTTTATATTGCACTGGGAAGCACAGAATGGCTGTATATACTCATTACTGGGTCATATGAACAGAAGAAGAATGGGGCTTTCCCTTCCATTGGGATGCACTGAGAAATTTATCAGAAATCTTTTTTTTCCCCTATAGTCCCAGCTGAATACAGCTCATTTTTAAATCTGGCCTTTCTTTTGCCAATCTCTCTTCCATGCACCCCAGAAATCTGGAATAGTTTTCAGAGATGGAGTAGCAGTTCCCCATTTGAAAATGAGGGTCTTTCTAATTTAATCTCAGAACTGACTTTTGATTGACTGATATCACTTTCATCTGCTAATGTTGTAGAACAAGACAGATATCAATTCACTTGGAATCCTAAGATATAGATCCCAGATCTTTTTTTCTGTTGCCCTGAGCAACCCTGAAAAATTACAAGAAAACCCATGTATTTTTTAAAAAAAAACTGATGGAAGATATAGGGATGAAAAGAAAGGGGAAAAAAACCTCTCTGATTGAAAAAAAACTTTCCAGTAAAAGTCATGTAGTTCCAGTAATTGGACAGGAAGTATTTTTTCCTGTTTCAGTATACAAAATAACAGAGTTGGAAGGAATCTTGGAGGTCATCTAGTCCAACCCCCTGCTCAAGTAGAAGACCCTATACCATTGCAGACATATGGAGTCTTGGTTTTAAAAACATACACAATATTCATAGCAAGAAAGACTATCTAAAAATGCAGACCTCATCAATCACCTGATTTGTATGATTCCAGATAATAAAAGAAATACATGATCTCCCATATATATGTAAATAAATATGGGAAATGTGAAAATCGTCCCATTAACTAAAATGAAATCTAATTTGGATCAAAGATAAAATAGTGTTCTATTTGATATTAATGGCCAAGGTAAACCAAGGTTATTCTGAGAATGACTTGAATTTTCATTCTAACTGCTAGTCAATTCAAATCAGTTAATAACTGTAAAAATTAAATGGAGAAAGAGTTGGAAGAGAAAAATAATTCAGCCAGTGGGAGGCTTGGTAGAGCTTGGAAATCTCATATTAATAATAATAATAATAATAATAATAATAATAATCCCAGTGAGGCACTACCTTGACGTGGTTGTGGGGCTTGTGTACTCTGAGGAAGATGAGAGCTATGCCAGAGGTTCAACCATACTGGACAGGTCTCATCAGAGGAGTCAGACAAAGAGTGTCTCTCCCATACAAAATATGGTGAGACGTAAATTTCAGAATGCCATACCGGCTCGGATGTCGCCCGGGTTAACAAGGTCCGCGCTAGATATTGGAGTTCCTGGATATCTGGTGAAAAATGGGTTACAGGACTCAGGACTGTTGGCTGAGCAACCAGGGCCAGCAGCTGCAGAACTACTGGAAGAAAAGGTGTTTACCCGTCGCAGATACACAGTGATGGAAAACAAAGAAATAATGATCTGTTACTACAGATCAAGTCCAACAAGACGAGGATATCTAAAACGAATGCACCAGTTCTGGAAAGAACAACATCCAGAATCAGAAATAACAGAACAGAGACTAGCAGATCAACGCCGATTTATAACACGAAATAAAGTATTCACAGAAACAGAATTGGACGAACTGCAAAGGTTTACCCAGGGCAAAGAAATCAAAGCCTTACCAGAAGTAATTCAGAATGTAGAGGCAAACCAGGGGGAGTTGGCAGTGAAGGAATCCAGTAGAGATATACAACTGTTCTCATTTGGAAACCAGGCACCTCTTCCTCAGGAAGAACAAAACCCTCTAACTAAAGAAATAAAAGAATTGAAACAAAGAATAACTGAGCATCTAGAACAGCACAAAAACAACAGAATAAGGCTGCCTGCATTGAAGCTTGTTTCAAAGAAACAGCTAGCACAAGCATTAAAAGATGCAAATACTGCAATAGCAAGTATAAGCACCAATTCACTGCAAGAAACAAACCAACTAATGTACAGCACAGCTGCAGTTATAACTGAATACCTGGGATGCAAAATCAACAAAGAAGAAAAACAAACAAACAGTGCACCACAAAAATGGAAGGTTAGACTAGAAAATAAGATCAGCAAGTTAAGATCACATGCAAGCAAGCTAGAACAGATGAAAGAAAAGAAGCTGAAGAACAAGAAGACCAAAGAATACCTAATCAAGAAATACCACTTAGAAACAAGGAAGATCAAGGAAGCACTGGAAATAATAAAGCAACAAATAACAGCTATAGCCAGGAAAATCAGTAGATATGAAGCTCGAATTGCAAACTATAGGCAGAACCTCCAATTTCAATCCAATCAGAAACGTTTCTACCAATCCATCAATGGAGAAACTGCAAGGAATCAGTCAGTACCTGACAAGGAAGAAACAGTGCAGTTCTGGAAGCAGATATGGGATAACCCAAAGAAATACAACAAGGATGCGGCTTGGTTAAAAGAGGTGGATGCAAATAAAACAGAAGTTGAAATGAAAGAACTAGTAATAACAACAAAAATGGTAGAAAAAAGAGCAAAGAAAATCAAAAATTGGTCAGCACCAGGTGAAGATGAACTGCATGGGTTTTGGTTGAAACATCTAACTGTTATATACCCACTCATTGCCAAGCAGTTCAACAATATACTACAAGGAGGAGAAATTGAAAAGTGGCTAACAACTAGGAAAACCTACCTAATAATGAAAAATCCAGCAAAAGGGGCAACACCAGGTAACTACAGGCCAATTACCTGCTTACCAACAACTTTCAAATTACTAACTGGTGTGGTAGCTGATGCAGTACAACAGCATCTAGTTGAAAACAATCTCTTTCCACCTGAGCAGAAAGGAAACCGCCCCAATAGCAGAGGAACAAAAGATCAACTCCTAATAGACAAAATGATCTTGGAAAACTGCAAGAGAAGGAAGACCAACCTGAATGTGGCATGGATTGACTACAAAAAGGCATTTGACTCTCTGCCACATGATTGGATAATAAAGTGCCTAGAAATAACAGGAGTCAGTAGAAACATCAGAAAATTTGTGCAAAGATCGATGGCACAATGGAAGACACAGTTGCAGATCAATGGTGAGAAGCTGGGAGAGGTTAATATCAAGAGAGGGATATTTCAAGGAGATTCATTATCACCATTACTATTTGTTATTGCACTGTTTCCTCTGTCAACAATACTGAATAACTCAGGACATGGCTATCAAACATCAAAAACATCTGCCAGACTATCCCACCTCCTTTACATGGATGATCTGAAGCTGTATGGAAAAACATCATCTGAAATAGAATCGCTGCTCAACACTGTCCGTATATATAGCCAAGATATTGTAATGGAGTTTGGCTTGGACAAATGTGCCACACTTACTATCAAACAAGGAAAAATAGTGAAAACTGAAGGAATCAAGATGCCCCACGAAAATAACATTAAGAGTCTGGATGAGGAAGAGTACTACAAATACTTGGGTATCCTTCAAGCTGACAACATCAAGCACACTGAAGTCAAGAAAAAGATTAGAAGTGAATACATCAAGAGAGTGAAGAAGATCTTAAAGTCCAAACTCAATGGAGGAAATACCATAAAGGCAATCAACACCTGGGCAATCCCAGTCATTAGGTACACAGCTGGAATAGTGGACTGGACTCAAGCAGAACTAAAAGCAATGGATAGGCAGACCAGAAAAATAATGACAATGAATCATGCCCTTCATCCACGCA